CAAGCATGATCTCATATTTTGTGTGTATTCAGTTAAGGCACCTAAACCCAAGACTAAATTTATAAAATATAGGGATTTTAAGAATATGAATGAAGTTGAGTTTATGTCAGAGAAAACGCCATGGCACTTAATAGAAAATTCTCAATCAATCTCTTGATGAAATGTTAAATGAACTAAACAGCAAAATTATAAATCTGTTTGACAAACATGTTCCAATTGTTTCAAAACGTTTGACCAAAAAACAACCAGTGCCTTGGATTACCCCTGAAATACGTAGCTTGATGGCTAGGCGCGACTGTCTTTTCAGGAGAGCAAAACGTTCCCGGAATCAAGAAGAAATGGAACAGTATCGTTATTTTCGAAATAGAGTTAAACAACTTTTGCGGAATTCAAAATTACTACATATTCGAATGCTTTTTGAAAACAATAACCAACCATCTAGAGTTTTATGGCGTAACGTAAAAAGTCTTGGGCTTGGGAAACAACCTGACGCACAGAGAGTCAATATTCCTCTCAATGAATTAAACGCTTTCTTCTCTTCCTTTGGTCAAAGCATCAATCAACAACAAGTTGAAAGTTATATAACGGAGTTAAGAAACTCCCCTGTACAAGAATTAGGATACCCCAAGTTCACTTTCAAACCTGTACTGCAGTCTGATGTTCTGAAATCTATTCAACGTATTCGCAGTAATGCTATTGGATCTGATGGGATTCCAATTCGCTTCATTAAGGACATTCTCTTTGCTATACTCCCCACTATCACCTGCATTTTCAACACATCTCTAAGGCAAAGCATATTCCCGATTTCTTGGAAGTCTGCCCTAATTCGTCCCTTAAATAAGATTCCAGCACCTGCTTCTTGCCAGGATTTCAGGCCGATCAGTATATTGCCCGCATTATCTAAAGGCCTTGAAAGAATCGTGCACTGCCAAATCACTGAGTTTCTGACTGAAAACAATATCTTATGCAACTCACAGTCTGGCTTTCGAGCAGCTCACAGTACAGAAACAGCACTCTTACGTGTGACGGACGACATTAGACTAGCAATGGAACATCGGCAGGGTACGATTCTTACCCTATTTGATTTTTCTAAAGCCTTTGACTGTGTAAATCATAAGCTCCTTTTGGAAAAGCTAAGGGCCATAGGGTTTTCAAATGGTGTATTGGACTGGCTGGGATCCTATCTGTCAGACAGGCGGCAGTGTGTTGAGGTTGATGACTTACGATCTGACTGGGAGACAGTTACTAGTGGTGTACCTCAGGGGTCCATCCTTGGTCCTCTGTTGTTCGTACTATACATAAATGACTTGAGCTCAGTCCTCACACACTGTAAATACCACATGTATGCTGACGACTTACAGATTTATACACATTTTTCACCCAAACAGATCAACGAAAGTGTTCTGAGAGTGAACGAAGATATTGAGAAAATCATTACTTGGACTAATAAACACGGACTCAAACTTAAACACGAAAAAACTAAACCGATCATAATTTGTCATCCACGTTTACGGAACTCTATTGACTTTCTGACGACGAATCCAATAACTATAAATGGAACAGATTTGCTTTACAATGACAAGGTCAAAAACTTAGGGCTTACTATCAACTCGACACTTACTTGGGGCGATGCGGTAGTAGACATCCGTAAAAAGGTGTTTGCATCAATCCACTCACTTATAAAGTTACAGAATTTCTTGCCTTTGCACATAAAGTTACACCTGGTTAAATCTCTTGTTTTTCCCCACTTCACTTACTGCAGCTCTGTGATCAATGACATGACTGTAAACCTCGCTGATGCTCTCCAACGCGCTCAGAACTACTGCCTAAGATTCATTTATGATCTAAGACGCAGTGAGCGCATCACACCTTTCTACATTCATTCTAAGTTATTAAAGCTATGTGACCTGAGATCAATCAAAATTCTTTCGCTAACCTATTCAATATTAAAAAACAATTTTCCAAAATATTTTGTAGATGATTTTAGGTTTGTAGCTGAAGAAAGTGTCAGATACTCACGCCATGCATCATTAACTTTGCGTATGCCTCACCATAGGACCGCAGTTTACGACAGAGCGTTTATTGTAACTGCTTGCCGTCTTTTGAACGATCTTCCTTTAGCTATTAAATCCCTCGATAGTCGTTCCCGGTTTGTGGCAGCACTAAAAAATCTCTATTTTGAACGTATGGCCATGGTAGGTTTGTCGTAGGGGCCTGTGCGCATGGCGGTCGCTGACTTGTATGTATGTGTGAGCGAGTGTGTGGGTGTAAGTATTTTTAAAATTTACTGATTTTTGATAAAAGTTTCTGTATCTATGATTTCTGTTTTGTTTTATTGTATAAGCTGATTATGTTAAAATATTTATATTATGTTTTAAAGTACAGGTTAAGTGTAAGAAAGGGCCATGTGGCCCTAACTTTGCCTGTGTAAATAAATGATTTTCATTTCATTTCACATGTTTGTGCAGCTAAATGTCAGTACCCTGCAATATAACGAGCCAATCCTGAGTTATAGTGCCAACGGACATATTTATATATAGGCTATATGAATTTGAACTGATGGTATTATTGGCTATTGGCCTCTGGGGACCTCAAAAATAAAAAGTATATCGGCCCTGGGTCAAGGTAAAAGCTTATTTCCTAATTCGCTAAAATATTTTCACAAGCTTACAAGCTGTTGGTCCGTTCTATATACGGGAATTGAGTAGTCAACTAAAACTGATGTTATGTAAATAGGGCCTATTTCCATTTCTAATCCAAGCAAAGTTTAACCAATTAAACATTTATTGTAAACAAAAAGCTGCCAAAATGAATTAAAACATATGTATACATTGTTATTTTCCTGTTCTTTCTCCAAAAAGTCGAATAGAAAATTAATTTACTTAACCTTTCCTTTGAAGACTCGGGGGCAGAGCCTCAATTTGTATACATCAGTGGTTATAGAATCTTACTTATTTCCTATAATCAATGGCAAAATTACAGAATAATAAACTAACCTGATAGTTCTATAGAATATTTTTATATTCAACCAGCTAGTAGTTTAATCAATGGCAAAATCACAGAATAATAAACTAACCTGATAGTTCTATAAAATATTTTTATTTTTTGTATGTTAGTGCACTTGATGGAGTGTATCTAACCCATGTTAAAATGGTCATGAAATTTACTTATTGTTCTAGTATAGAATAGATTGTAAATAAATACACTGGAGTCTAAACCTTCGCTAAATCATCATGATGTTGTCCCCTGGCGCTGCGGAGTGGGGGAAATGATTCTCCCTCCACCTCCCCTCTAGACGGCGTCCAAACAAGCCCGCGTTGTTTTACATGCATATCATATACCTATGCTGCAGTTTTTCAATAAGTTAAAAAATGAATATTTATAAAATTAAACTGTCATAAATTAACCTAACCAACCAAACATGCTGATTATATAAAAAAAATATATAAAATAATAATCGAATGAAGGTTTACTAATCGAAAAAATAGTTCTGTTCATAAAATAAAATTATAAATGCCTTGAATTCAATTTTAGAATTTATTAATTATGAAATTAAACTGTCATAACCTAAACAAACCAACCAAACTTGCTGATAATGAAAAATCGAACAAGGTTTACTAATAGAAAAAATAGTTCTAAAATTATAATAGCTCAAATTGAATTTTATAATGTTTCAATTAACAAATTAAACTGTCATAACCTAACCAAACTAACCAAACTTGCTGATAATGCAAAATCTTAGACAAAAAGTTAGTGCCACCGAGAGGATTCGAACCTGGTACCTTCAGATCCTCAGCCCGGCACGTTATCCATTAGACCACCGAGGCCGGTGGCTATAATCCGTATCGTTGCGGTAATGGTGTTCCCTCAGCCAATAGAATGCTTTGCTTCCCCCACTCCGCAGTGCCAGGGGACAACATCGTGATGATTTAGCGAAGGTTTAGACTCTAGTAATAAATACTTGTTAAAAAAATATATACAGCTGTTAGTTTAAACAAATTATATTGCACCTTTGACTATTCAATAGTCAATGATTGCACTAAATAAACTTAAAATTTTAAAGACTGCTCTAAAAAATAAATTAGAACATCTTAGCATTTTACCATGTAGCCTGTATTTAAATAGTATGTCATTCTCTTACCAAATAAATGAACGTATCAATGAGTATAGCATTACACATAATATAAATCAGTCAACCCTATGCATGTCATTATTATTCAAATGCTGAATTTGAGTCACACAAGCTTAATGTTTACAGCTGTTACGTTAAGCAAATGGTATTATAACAAAAGCTAGTGTAGAATATAAGCGTCGGCTGCTAGACTTTTTCAAATTTTAAACTTATTTTCTAAAAAACTGGAACCCTAAACTAAAATGATGGATTCAACATCCCTAGTTCTCAAAATTATCTTTCTTTCAACACAAAAATCATGAAAATCCGTCAAGTGGTTGATTCAGAATCGTGAAATAAAAAAACCCTGTCACATTATACAGGGTTAGGCAAAAGTCTGGAACCCCCCCAGTTAACTTTTTAACGCGTTGCAGTAGGAAAACCAAACTCGGCACATATTTACAACATAAGAAATTGCACTTTTTCATCAAAGTTACAACTTTGACCTAATCCCCAAAATTTCAAACGTAAACACCTATCATATGACCCCTCATTTTAAAGTGTTTATTAAGAGAAATTGAATGGCACAAACCAGAGGTCAATATCGCATCCCTAATAAAAATAGCAGCCATTTTAATTTAAGATGAGCAAGAAAGATTAAGTCTGGACACCCCCAGTTAACTTTCCTACCATAATTTTTTATCCTAATCTATTCTCTCTTCATCCTATTTTATGTATAGATTATTTAATATTTTTTTTACAAATTACTATACATTTAAAGTATGAAATCAAGTATCCCTGTGGACATAGTAACTTGTGTCATCATAAAAATGCCCCTATTATTGGGTAAATACTTTAAAAAATCTATTCAGATTTGTTATTTTTCTAGCTGAGCTGTGTCACCTGAGATGGAAGTCACTTCGGAAGCGTTATGCTAAAGAAAAAAAGCGATTCCCTGAAATAATACAAGGACAGCGCAGACCATGGGCTCTCTTCCCGAAAATGTCATTTTTATTAACCCCAGCACAAACACCAATGCGTAGAATGTAAGTAAATAGTAGTAATTTGTTGTGAAGATGTAATTTATTGAATTTACAATTTGGACTTGCTAATTTTTATAATCTAACACATTCACTACCAGGCTAAACAAGGCTCCTCGTAACTTACAGAAGAACTGATAGCAATAACTATCAAAATTAAGTTACGCCTATTTGTATTTTTGAAAAAGAATATATGCCCTAGATTTATTATTTGTATTCAAAATCTGTTATCACCACATTTTAGAGTCAAGACTTATTATTTAAACAGATTTGTTAATGCCCAAAGTCAGTCCTGTGTATTTCTGATGAGGAAAAATCAGAAATTTATAAGATTTTATTTTCAAAACAAGTTTTAGAAAATAATCAAAGTAGAATGGCAAGATATGAAATCATACTTCAACAACAAACAACAATTCTGTGTTCATTTTAGCGAATTTCCCATATAGGGAATAAGCTATTACCGTAGTACTCATGGTAAGACCTGGACCCGGGACCGATTTTTTTTTTCGTTTTGAGGTCCCTAGAGACCAAAAACACCATCCGTTCAAATTCATATATATATATATATTTATATATATATATATTTATATATATATGTGTCCGTTAGCGCGATAACTCGAGCAAAAATGATCCGATTTTGATGAAATTTGGTACAAACGTGTAAACCTACGTTTATTCGAACGAGTTCGCGAACCAGCATGATCGGACCATGGGAACGGGGGTTTATGGGGGCTTTTATGGGGTAAAAATGGGTTTTTCCAATTTTTGACCCAAAAAACATAAAATTTTGCAATTTCTTTCCAAACTATTTTGTAGAGCTTAAAAAAACAAATAATTTAGTATATTGAAGCGTTATAATGCGTCTAATGGTTACGGAGAAAATTCCAAAAAATTGTTAATTAAAATTCCTATGTTATTCTTATGGAGAATAAGTAAACTGTTGTAGTTTGCTTGTTTATTAACATATTTTGCCCAAATTTGGAAAATGCATTCATTTCATACTAAACTATTAACATTTTACAAAAAAAACTAACTTTTTACCCTCCCTGTTGCAGCAAACCTAAGTAGTCGTTAAACTAATGCTATTTAAAGGGAATAAATGTGATATGTTTAAGGAGACATTTTAGTGTAAATCCAATAGGGCAAATGGAAATTCGCTTAGTCTGCAGGTTTGCTGCGGCGGGGGTATTAATCTAATGTCATCTAATCAAGGCCCCACTAGAAAAACAGGCCATGCTGCAGCACGGGCAGCGCAACACTACGTCACAGTGGTGGATAGTTGTACTAAACTCTTACCATTAAAATCTTACAAACAGCCAGCTTGTTTATTTACCTAAAACATATAGGAATGGCAATGGCACTGAATTTATCATTGAAATCTATCCACTAGTGTGACGTCATGGATCCTGAAGCATGGCCTGTTTTTTTTAGGGGGGCCTTGATCTAATGTAGGGGCTAAAATTGTGAATGCAGTCAAAATTTAGCTTTCTGTCTTAGTCAACAATAATGTTTAATGAATGTATTAGAATATATAAAAAATAGAATGGGTACACTAGACATTTAAAGATCACACTTTATATTGGTTTTTGCAACAGACTCTGTTCAAGTCTGACCCATTGTCTATTGTTTCCAGAAAACCTCCTAGGCCACGGAAGAAGATTGGCCCGACATCAAGTTCAGAGAATTCGAAACATAATGCTTCTGACGATGATATGCTGATAGTAAATGATAAGGATGAAGTTGTAAGCACATGCAAGTCTACAGAAATATCAGAAGATGAATACATCTACGAGACATTAGATGACCCTGATAGTGCATTAGAAATCATGAAAGAAAAACCGCCTCCTAAAGTAAAACCTACGGCAATACGCTCTGGGGCAGCCATAGCTCCAACTGTTCCTCGTTTTAGGGGGTCAGGGAGGATAAGAAAGGTCACATCGAAAATGCAAAATTCTTTCATAGCTAAAAAGCTAAAGCAAGCGCAACAAATACTGCAAGAATCAGATGTGTCAGTGGAAGACAAAAAACCTCCTCTACTAACCCCACAGAAAGCCTCTGTAGATAATGCTAAGAATGATACTAAAAGATCATCAGGAGCAAAAACTGTACTCCATCAAGACAATACTACAAGGCATGTAGCGACGGTAAATCCCAACATGGTTAGGCTAGATAAAATAACCGATAAAAACTCTTCCACACATGTTCATGACAGTATAATTACCTTATCCAGTAAGGGGTCCCCAGAAAAAATCAGCGAAGCTCATCGACCGTTCAAAGTAATCAAGCTGAAAGGGAAAAATCCGATTATATTTTCACCAGAACAATTGCCGGACATTCAGTCGTTTCTTAAGGCTGAAGCGTCATCTTCAAGCTCTGTATCTGTGCCTGAACAGAATGAGTTGAAAACACCACTTCTCAAAATTAAATCAGTGGATAATCTAAACAAGCAGAATGTTGTGTCTGCCCCTGCAAGTGAAAATAAAGACAACAATCTAGACATTATCCATTCTGTGGGGCTCGTAAGGAGGAATACGGTTGAGAAATGTGCGGAAAAACATGAGACGTCTTTCTTGAGAAACTCACTCGAGGAACCTTTGACCAAGAAGATAAGTCATCAGAGTTACTCAAGGGCATACTCTTGGAACAGACCGGGGTCGAAAACCGCCAACAAACAAACGGCCAATGATAAAATCCAACCGGACTCCCAGACAAATGATTATGAAATAGAGGAAACATGGAATGATATTAAGCAAGAAAATATTGGTGAGTCAAGTTTTATTTTTTTATTTACATTTTTTCCAGCGACAGTGTTATATACGTAGTATTTTCAAATTTGATAACTGCTTTAGACTAGAACCTATCAAGTTGCCAGGACATACGTTTATCAGTTTTAATGTACAGCACATTGTCTAGTGTACATTTTGGATTGTTTTGGACTTTTTATCCACTTATTAGGTGGTTTAATCTTCAAATTTTATCGACATAGGTAACTCTTGATAATCCAACTTAGTTTTTATATACAGAGTGACAAAAAAGTCCTGGGACGGTTAAATATTTTAAAAACTAATAAATATAGAACTATGAAAAACTTGGAACAAAGTCTTTGGCCATAAAAATAATTTTAACACATTATTCAGTCATACGCTACCACTCAAGGGGACAGCCCACTAGGAGTCAGAATAAAATTTCTAAGCATAGGTTGTTAGACAAATCAAATAGAAGGTTTTAAATAGTTTTTAACAATGCCACAAATCTAAACTCAAACGGAAAATGGTACCAGTTCAAAGGTTGTACCAAGTTGTTATATGGCAAAATTATGAAGTACAGTATAAGAAATCTTTAAATGGCTGTAATTTGTTTGGGTCTGCGTCATTGTATTCTACTCATAAACCCCTTTAATTTGACGTGCACATCAACCTATGCTATTGAAGAGTTTCTTCTGATTCTTAGCAGGCCGTCCTCCTGAAGAGGTAGCGTACCAATTAATAGTTAGTAAAATTTTAAAATTATTTTTATGCCCAGTAACTTTGTAAAGTTTTGTAGCTCTATACATTTATTAGTTTTTAAAATATTCAACTACCCCAGGAATATATCGGTGGAGGTCATATGACTATCTTACAGCAAAATGCAGTGATGAGCTACATTTATAAGTCATCGTCAATGGCTTACAAAAAAAAAAACAAAAAAAAAAAAAACAGCTACCAGTAGGAAATGTTTTATTTTTCTCGCAACAGTTTGATAGACCTCTCCCCATTTATTGGAAAATATGAATACAGTTATTTGGCATTCAACATCTTGTATGTCACATTAGGCATTTTATCATATTTATATTGATTTACAGAAGACATGTCCTGGCATCCAGAACCTGAAATGGTACAGTTTGGAGAATACGCTCATACGATGGACTACCCAGAAGAATCTCCCAACAATCAGAACATGTGGAACAAACTGAGTGAAGCCAAGCTGGAACTTGTCGCTTACCAGAGGAAAATGCTCGAAGAGCAACACAAGAAAACAATGGAATACATGAAGAAAGAGCATGACTTGAAGATGACTTTGTTGAAAGCAGAGATCGACTTGAAACGAAAACAGTTAAACATCATGTTGTAAATAAGTTCAGCAACCGAAAACTACTGTAGATTGTAAATAATTTATTTGCTTGAAGCCCGGTTGTTTCTACATTATGCCCTCCCCTTATGTGATCTCAATGTAAATATATTTGTTTTCTTCTTATAGAAGTTATCTTTTGTGACCATTTTTGTTTTTAGAATTAAATGTTTGATGAAATGGCAGGCAATTATTGTGTTTTGGATTTTACTTTGTGAATATGAAGGAGGGTATTCTTAAGGTCTTTACTTTTACAGTACTTGGAAAGGAATCATCAATTACAGTGGAATAACATTTTTTATCTAAATATTTAAATTGTTTATTATTGACCAGTGTGAGGAAATTGAATACGTACTTGATAAATTGTTGCAACAAAAACAATCAACAAATATAAAGTTATTGTTTGTCAAAAAAGGTTTTTATAAATTGTAAACAATTGATCTTTAACCAGAGTAATATTGAAAGCTGAATAAAAGTTGTTTTTTCAAATGCAGATATACAAGGTAATTATCAATCCTTTGAGACAACACTCACCTAGGTGGTTATTTTAAGCTGAATATGAGTGTGTGAAGTGAGATGATCTTGTGAAGCTTAGTTACTGAGTGCATGGATGTCCATCCATATAGGCAAGAGGGGGCTCGAACCCCCCCCCCCCCCCTTTGAGACCCTACTTTGGTGATCAAACAGACTGAGAATTACGGGAAGTTTGCGTAAATTTATTGAATTAGGAACTATGCGGGAATTTTTAACTCACTCTGGGAGAAATTTTGTGATCACGGTGAAATTGCAATCGTCATCGTCATACTGAAATATCACAATTTTTAGTTGTAAAATTGACCTGACTAGCTTAGCCTCATTCAACAACATTTTGCAACTAAAAATCATGATATTTCAGCTATTTTTTATTCAATTTTTTTGAACTTGGTGTCGTTTGATAGGAAGTTTTAAATGCTAAATAGAAGTTTAATAGACATATTTCATCAAATTAGCCATTTTCAGCAATTCCAATTTAAAAAATTAAAATGGCAGCCATTTTAAAATTTGTAATTGGATTTTTTTTTTTCTAACATGGGTTTGTGAATAAAATACTAAGAACTATCTAGGGTCCCATGACGAAAATGGTGGGTGAAGTATCAGAACAATTAATTGTTCTGATAGAATAAAACAAAGAACTAAGGGAAATCTACAAACTCAAGACGTAATAGTTCAAATAAAAAGTAGGAAACTGAGATGGGGCAGTCATGTAAAAAGAAAAGAAAATTATATGCTAAGAATGGTGTCTGAAAATCTCCCTCGGGGAAGATGACCTAGGCTAAGATGGCAGGACCAGGTGCGAAGAGACAGGTAACTCAATTGAGCAAAGACAGAATTGCGATGGGAGACAGAGAGAGGTGGCGACTTGTTGGTGAGGCCAAATCCTACTAAGGTTTGAGTGGCCACATATGTATGGTAAGGTAAAGTGGGTTAGTTTTACGCCTACATACATAACCAAGTTTTATGATTGACAAATTTCAAAGATAAAAATGTTTATTATGAAAAAAACAAAATTGGGGATATCAATTTAGGTGCCCTGCACTCTGCAGTCACTGAGTTGGTCTATTAAAGTAAGCCAAAATGCAGGGCTGTCTTTATAAATTCATAAAACATTAATTATTTTTGAAGTTACAAGGTAGCAAGTTATGTTTATTTACTCGATATAAAATTGCCTTCAATAATGATTATTTGTAAATATAATAAAAACTATAAATAAAATATGTTTTGCCTAAAAAAATAATTATATTTTTTGAAAGCATGACCATTTTATTTACCTAAAAAACCATATATATATTGTTTTGCACCTAACATGTATTTGGAATACAATACCCTACATAAAATACTAAAAAAATAAAAATAGATAAATAAATAAAAATGTTACATAATTATGTTTTTGTTAAGTACTACAAATTTGAAAAACCTTATTTTTTAAACCCAGCCCAAATGCAGGGCTTTCCTATGAATGTATAAAACATTTCTTTTTGAAGTTTCAAAATAGCAAGTTATGTTTATATACTCAAAATAAAATTGCCTTCAATAACTATTATATTTAAATATAAAAAAAATATTTTTGCCTAAAAAAAATATAAATACAAAATAAATTTATATTTTCTGAAAGCATGACTATTCTATTTACCTAAAACCCATATACAGTATATATATTTTTGCACCTAACATGTATTTTAAATACAATTCCCTACTTAAAAATAAAAAAAAATTAAATAGATAAATAAATAAATATTTAACATATATTTTTGTAAAATACCAAAAAATAGAAACATTTAATATGAATTTAATTTTTTCTACCCTAAGCCAATAAGATATAATTAATTGTATTTTTTTTAACAATCAACCTTAGTTATTATTAAAATAAAAAAAAATTACCAATTTAAGTGCCATTTCAAAACATTATGGAAGTGTTCCGTGATACAACTTTTGAGCCCAATAGAGCCATCACAGAACAGTTCCATGATTGGCCAATTGGTTAACAAAGCGATTTTGGAAAAAGAAAAAATGTTATTCATGGTAGCTTAGTTGGTTTTACCTAATGTTATTTAAATAGATAGATTTAGTCTGCAGGTTTGCTGCGGCAGGAGTATCTAAAGTTAATTATTTTACATTTATGTTGGCACTATTTATTGTGCATTTTGTACATGCTATAAATGAAGATGATTTTTATTATTAATCAATTTCCTGAAATATTGTTTTGGAACACTATATTTGTTTACTGATTAACATTCTCAAGCCCAGAGTCAATTAGGATGGCTTTTTCGTAAGCGACGCTAACTAAACCACAAATGAGTAAAATAAAAGGCAAACATAAAAATAAATACTTTATTTCATTCTTCAGTTCATACAACTTTATGCAAAACAATAAATTATGCCAAGTTTAAATATACTTATATACAGTTATGTACACACATCTGAGTAAATACTTTACAAAATACGAGGACATTGCACAAGAAACTTACATACAAATTTGATTGAATTCTGTTATTTTTAAAAATTGCATACACCAACAAATTACACCACTTATGCACTAATTATATTCAGCCAAATAATTGATTCTATGAAAAAAAGCCATTTGGGCTAGTCTACAACCAGTGTTTTATTGACATTACAAACCCAAGCATTTCTTACTAAACTAATGAGGAAGATTGTAGGTTTCATTAAGCATCCGTGATGAATAAAACTTTATTTTATACTCTATAGTTCCTTCACAACCTGGGACTCAAGCCCCTGTTTTACACATTACTTCAGACTAGGTCTAAGAGGGTCACTGAAAATACATTTGTACATTTTGTTGTAATTCTCAATCAGATAAAAAATTTGGATAAAATATAAATTTAAAATATAGTTGTAATAATACAATGTGTAATAATATTTTTATTTTTTAAACCTAAACAATTAACCAACAAGGGATTAAATTATAGTTTTCCTTTGATATTGGTGCATTTGTGTTGTAAAATCTTGCCTCTACTGTAAAACCAATATTCTGATTTAATACTATGAATAATTTAGGATTTTGAAGCACAGTAGAGTATTTAAATACATTCAAAATACAGGATGCATCAGAACTTACTAAACAGTTTCACTCACTCATTAATCAAGCTGTGTGGAGGGGGGGGGGCAGATACTTTTAGTCATGTACCTCATACGGTTTCAGTAGCTATCTTGGTTTGTACCGAACAACATCGAGGTAATGCTGTGTGCGCAAATTTAAAAAAGTAGGTACTACTTGGATTGCATTTCTCAGGCAGGTTTTTTTTTTTAAACAATGCAGATATGGATTAAAAGGTTGGGCTGCCAGCACTCTTAAACAGAGATCTGGATCACAAACCAGTGCGAACACTGAAAAAATGTTTTTAGCGTTGCTATCACAGACTGTAGTTTTTAAATACACACAGCCTTGATGTTGTCTAGTCCAAACCATGATAGTGAATGAAACGGCAAGACTGGCCAATCGGAACAAGACCAACAGTGTCCACCTATTTCCCTTCAAAGCCAAAGTACTATGAGAGTAAATTCCATTCCATCACCCATTATGGGAGAGTCCATTCTGTCAATGTATAATAGAATGTTATCACAACCAACATAAAATTTTATGTAAACAAACTTAATTATAAATCACAGCCACACCCCTGTAGGGAAGATATGTTACACAATTGAATACTAGGATATCTTTTATACTACAGTATAGCCAATTCAAATTCATGGTATTTTAAAATAATTCAGACAAGGGTAGTACTGGATACTTATTGGTTGTGTCAAAAAGGCGATTTTGAAGAAGAAATGAAGAAAAATTAGTAAAATTACAAAAGGTTACAACTTTTGGCTGCCGTTTATTAGACTCATTGGCGACTCTTAAGAAGTTAGTGATATGACATGGTTCACTATTAATAATCATGATACTGTAGTTTGATTACTAGAAAGTAGAAATGCAAGCTATTGACAAGGGATGGAGTAATATTTGAGTCATGCACAAACAAGGCAGCACCTGGCATCCATAACTGTTGGTTTTGTGGATGGAATAGGATCTTCAAAATTTATTTTCTGAGGCCAAGGTAAATAAATTATGTTATGTCGATGCCAAATGCTGTCCAGCCCAACCATCAAAAGTTGAGTAACCAAGCCATTATAGTCGTAGACAAGCTAAATGTGAATCCAACAGGTTATATGCGGACCATAAGCTAGCAAATTGTTCTATCATAGTTTTGTGGCTGGTCCCTTATTACTGTCACTCAACTGAACTTACAGTAAAGAGACTAGGAAGCCCATTAAGGACAAGTAATGTTCCAAGATAAAACCACGCAAACATTTCCCTACAAATTTTGATAAATTTGATACCAAATTTCACACAAATCAGCGATTGTTATGCTAATGTCGACTGATTTGTGTGAAATTTGGTATCAAATGAACAGAAATTAGTAAAATTACAATATCACATTGTTAGATTTTTTCCCAACTATACTAATGGCAACCAATTGGGCTCCCAGGTGCGAGTTGAGTCCACCAGTGAAGGGAACCGCCAAATGTTAGCTTGACCATAACTATAACCAATAATTTCATTAAAATGTGGAATCATTCGCACAAAGCGAGGTCACTTAAGCTATTTAGAATATCACCAATAAGCATCCAAGACTCTTAGGCAATGTTTAAGAAAAAGTAGGTAAAAGTATGCCAATTCTACTTTGTATGGGTAGAACAGATAGAAAAACTTATTTTCCATAAATGTGTGTGCATATAGGCCATTTCAATTTCTAACATAAGCTTTGATTTCATTACAAATTTAAGAAAGACTTATGAATTGGGTCCCAATTTAAAAGTAAAAGAGGCCATACAAAAAATACTTTACAGTGGCTAAAATTCCAAGTAAAAATGAAATTATGTATTCTGTCTAATAGAGAACTATATCTATTATTTATGTACCTGCATTTGAAGGAAGAACTTTTGACTAATAATCTCTAACATTACACTGAATGTGAGTTCTACAGCAAAAAATTGCACTGCTTAAAATAATATCACAATATTCTTTTAATACTAGGATTTCATAATAAACTAACTTGATCCATTTAGCAGAGAATATGCAGTTGAAGGAACTTTGGTTTTATCGCTGCATAACCCAAACAACGAATCGCAGTTGAATTTGTTTTTTAATTTCACTGTGGAGGGTGGTTTGGGAGAGTGAGATTCTACGCTGCTACATGGCTTAAGGGTATTTACAAACAACGGAGTCCGTTCACACTCGATGCTATTAGACTGATGTGAATCACTTTCACTATGCAACCTGAACCCAGGATCCAAGTGATTTGACAGCTCTGAACTTAATTTATTAGGTTTTGACAAATTATTTCTCACAATCTTTTCATGCGTCAGCCCAACATTTTTAAGATATTGTCGTTTGTCGGATTCAATTTTACTTTTCTGTCTTGTTTTATCTTCTTCTATCTTTGATTTTATATATGAACATTTTGAAACTACTTTAAAATTCATTTTAGGCACAACCGTTTCGATGAAATCATCGATTGGAACTGAATCTTTATATCTTCTTTTACTTAAAGTTTTTGTTTTTGAATTCTTTTTTCGATAAACCTTTTTTGGAGGTACATTTTTTTGTGAAATCTTTTTGGGAGAGACCTTTTTTGGTTTGTTGTTTCCAGTTTTTCCGATAGAGCGCGAGTTAGAAGACCTTAAACCTGGTCTCTTATTTGGTGAAGAACGAGTTTCTTGTTTATTTTTAAACTTTGAAACACTAACTGTCGATGGATTTTTGGCACGAGTCTTCATAATAAGCTTGTCACTATTGTAAGCTTCCTTCTCCTGCAGTTGATCACTATATAAATTGATCTTGCCGTTGAACACAGCATGTTCAATACTGGATTTTCTGTCCAACATCATTCGTATATCTCTTTGTGTTGTTTTTGGTTTGTCGCAATTCCTTGAAAGTTGGTTAACTGCATTCGCATTCTGAATTATATTGTTGATGGTTATCCTTTTTAGATTAGCAATTTCCTTATCTGAAATTTTTACATTTTCTTCTGCATGTTTAGTCATTGCTTTACCTAAAATGTTACGTTTGTTTTGTTCTTGTATGGTAACTTTATCTTTCCTCTGTTGTTGTGATGCTTCTTTTTTCTTCTCTACAAGATCACTTTTTGGTTGCTCCTGTATTTGTTTGCTTGTACTAGGTTTTGCTTCCTGTTGTTGTGGTGCTTCTTTTTTCTTCTCTCCAAGACCGCATTTTGGTTGTTCCTGTATTTGTCTGCTAGTACTAGGTTTTGCTTCCTGTTGTTTGTCAACTTCTTTATTTTTCTCTCCAAGTTCACTATCTGGTTGGTCCTGTATTGTTTTGCTTGTACTAGGTTTAATTTCATTACTATGTTCCGCTACTTTGTTCCAGTAATCTTCAGCTAAGTACTTCCTCCACACTTGTGGCATCAACTGAGGAGGTTGCTGGTAAAGTTTCAACCCTTGATACACAGGGTACACATAGTGCACCACAGTTGGGGCCTTGCCACACCTGAAGAATGCCTGAAACAAGGATTTGCTTCTTTCAACAATATTTAGTATAGGTAGCCAAACACATGCAACTCTAAGCCAAAATAATCTATTGAAATGAAAAAAAGTTACCTCAATACGCTATTAAAACATTTAGTTAATAGACTAACAATTGGACTATTCCTAAACAGGGTATAATAGATTTTATTGATGAAAAGCTAATTTTTCCACCGATTCTGAAAACAGACTGGTTGCCTCATGATGGGATAGCAGATTTATCCGCACAATTCTTTTTGTGTGGAAGAACTATTATTTATACACATGTCATTTGTTATTTTTTTTTAAGTGGAAATCTATTAAGAAAAAAAGCACCAGAAATCAGAGTAAATTTGGAGGCTCGGCTTTCTTGGATTAGCCTACTAATTTCAAACAGTCGCTGAAGAGTTATTTACCATTCCTAAATATTTATTCAAACACCAAAGTGATTGCAATCTAAATATCTAGGGCGCTATAAGAAATTTTGTTTGTAGTTTTGTAATTGTTTTATGAGTTGACACAGCTAGGCTGCGAGGGAAACATAGGAGGCTGACGACCATCTTGGATCTGCCCACACAGCATTGTTAATTTCAAACAGCCGTTGAAGAGTTATTTACCACCCCAAAATATTTCTTCTAATACCACAGTGATAGTAGTTTAACACGTAGAGTGCGGCCGTTCCCGATCGGGTACGGTGCTTGGCCCCCGTTCGGTGCGTCCGTACCCCACCGGGAACGCTCGGCAATGCCTTTTGTATATCTTCGTTTTTGCTCTAGCGTCGGCCGAAAGCGGACCTATACCACGTTAGCGTGTAGTATGTGACTTGCATTTTGTTGTGGTGTAGGTTGGTAGTAAATTTTCTCGTAAAATCCCCGTCTGGCAATCTCAAAAATCTACTTTTTGTCCCTTCTTTTTCCCTCTATTTGGCAATACAATTCCAATGGGACCAGCTACGTTCCAAGCAGTGCTGCTATCATCTGTGGGTGTTGTAATCAACTGCATCGACTCTCGTTGTAAAGCAGGACATTCCTGCACGTTATTTGCTATTCGTCAGACCAAAATTGGAAAGCCAATCACACGCGACAATCGGGTTTGTTCGACGCTGAGGGCTGTGCCGCACTGGGGATACGCTCGCCATTTGACGTCCTGCAGTGAACGTGTTAAACATCTAGGATGCTATGAAACACACACAGGGTGACCACCAGGCCAACCACAAAAAATTCATGAGTAAAAAAATTTCCAACGCGTTTTGCCCCAACTCCCGCAATGCTGTTTTAGCGCTCTAACACAGCTCGCTATTTTAGTTATCATAAAGAGCATTCTCAGTTAAGGAAAAAAATTATGATTGCCTGACACAAGTATTCAATTTTTATATATTAAATAATCAAAAAATTAAAAACTAATCCTTAAACCTGCAATTTATTAATAACTTCCTAAAAATAGTGATATGTTGATACCAAAGTGTATCAAATCTCTGTACAGACACATGAAAAATAAATTCTTAATACTGATCATTTCTATTTTACCAAATTTTCTGAAGGATTCCTACACCAACCCCTGGTTTATGTACTTTCATATAGTATAATTTTGGAGAGATGGGTTGTTTTCCAAGTGGCCTACAGAAATAATAATGCAAAATTACAAAAATTGCACGTAGCCAATTTATGTTTTAAACCCTTCTAAACACATTAAATAAATACGACGTTAAAGGTAAAGGTATTAAAAAAAATATATAAAAAAACTTTGAAGAAGTGTGCTATTTTGAAATTGTTGGTCAAGCCAAACTCGAGGTTATATTGTAATCATCTAACACATTCGTAGAGACACTATCATCATTTTCTGCGATAACTGAAAAATCCTGAATATCTCACTCAGTAACAGAAACATCACCACTGTCTCCCAAAGTCACGGAAACGTCATCGTTGTCACACGCGGTAACAAAAACGTCATTGTCGTCTCCCGAGGTCACGGAAATGTAATCGTCGTCTCCCGCGGTTACGAAAACGTCATTGTCGTCTCCTGCGGTCACGGAAATGTCATCGTCGTCTCCCGCGGTCACAGAAACGTCGTCATCGTCTCCCGCGGTCACAGAATCGTCATCGTCCGCATGCGCGATCGCGGCAAAATCACTAACATATCCCGCGACCGTTTGGACATCATCATCGTCTCACGCGGTCACGGAAACGTCATCGTGCGCATGCGCAATCACGAAAACGCCATCTTCGTCTCCCGCAGTAACAGAAATGTCATCGTTGTCACACGCAGTCACGAAAACGTCATAGTTGTCTCCCGCGGTTACGGAAATGTCATCATCATCTCCTGCGGTCACGAAAACGTCATCGTCGTCTCCCGGGGTCACGGAAATATCATCATTGTGTCCCGTGGTCACGGAAACGCTATTGTCGTTTCTCGCGGTCACGGAAATGCCATCGTCGTCTCCCACGGTCACGAAAACGTTGTCATCGTCTCCCGCGGTTACGGAAATAACATCGTCATCTCCCGCGGTCACGAAAACGTCATCGTCGTTTCCCGTGGTCACGGAAATGCTATCATTGTTTCCCGCGGTCACGGGTACGTCATCCTCGTCTCCCGCGGTCACGTGAACGTCATCGTCATCTCCCGCGGTCACGGAAACGTCATCGTCGTCTCCTGCAATCACGAAAACGTCATCGTCGTCTCCCGGGGTCACGGAAATATCATCATTGTGTCCCGTGGTCACGGAAATATCATCATTGTGTCCCGTGGTCACGGAAACGCTATCGTCGTTTCTCTCGGTCACGGAAATGTCATCGTCGTTTCCCGTGGTCACGGAAACGTCGTCATCGTCTCCCGCGGTTACGAAAACGTCATCGTCATCTCCCGCGATCACGGGAACGTCATTGTCGTCTCCCGCGGTTACGGGAACGTCATCCTCGTCTCCCGCGGTCACGGGAACGTCATCGTCGTCTCCCGCGGTCACGGATACATTATCGTCCTCATGCGAGTTCGCGGCAAAAAATTCCCGGTTCAAAAAATTCACGCATAATTCCCGGTTTTCCCGGTCGGTGGACACCCTGAGTCACAATTTTCTTTGTAGTTTTGTAATTGTTTTATGAGACCGCACGGCAAGGCTCCAACGAGTCTGAAGTCACTATCATATAAAGGAAAATCAGCCAACTGTGTAATTTAAAATTTCTTCAAAAACTTTTAGAAGAACCTTTTGAAGTGTCAAAAAGGTTATTAATAAAAGGAACATTAATTTCAAGGAACAAAACCAAAATATCTCTGGCCTTGGGCAGAACAACAACAGTTTTTCAATCAGAGGTCCTGGCGATTGAGTGCTGTGCTAATAATATTATTAGCAAGAATCTAAGAAAGGGTAAAATCCTTATTCTCTCTGACAGCCAGGCAGCACTGAAGGCGCTGGGGTCATGTGTGACACAGTCACGAACAGTAAAAGGGTGTAAAAACACCCTCAAAAAGTTAGCAGAGCGAAACCAAGTCAAATTGTCTTGGGTTCCTGGACATTCGGGGCATGAGGGGAACGAAAAAGCCGATGCATTGGCCAGGAAGGGTGCGGAAGACCAACTGTCAGGACCAGAACCCTACTGTGGTACCCCCATAAGCTCAGGAGTAGCCAAAGTCCAAGACTGGGTCAAGGTTCAAAAGGCTCTGGCCTGGATGAACCACCCAGGTATGAGGACGTCCAAATTACTAATCGACCCCACTGATAAAGGCTGGAAAGACTTGCTGAGCCTTAAGAAAGGGGACATTAGTCTGCTAGTAGGAGTGTTAACAGGGCACGGTCCTATCAGGAAACATCTCAGGACCATAGGGAGGTCACAAACAGACCTCTGCAGGTTCTGTGAGAACGAGGTAGAAACCTCAGAACATTTATGGCTGGACTGTCCAGCGTTGGCCCATAGAAGGCTTATATCTCTGGGGAGGTTATTCCTGGAACCAACAGAGATAAGGAAGCTGGGTGTCTTTCAGCTCCTGGGCTTCTTGAGGAGCCTAGGGCTGTCAGAATGAATTAAAGGGTGCTACAAAAGGTCTCCAGGCCGAAGTAGCTAGGGGTATGCCATTACCCCAGCCCCCACAAAAAAAAAAAAAAAAAAAAAATTGTTTTATGAGACCGCACGGCAAGGCTCCAACGAGTCTGAAGTCACTATCATATAAAGGAAAATCAGCCAACTGTGTAATTTAAAATTTCTTCAAAAACTTTTAGAAGAACCTTTTGAAGTGTCAAAAAGGTTATTAATAAAAGGAACATTAATTTCTTAACAGCCACCGAACGGAGCATTTATTCTGTCAACCTCAAAAAGCATCTTCAAAGATTGCTGGGACGAAAATTCACGTTTACTCCCAGATCCCCTCTAATATCTGGGGGAAAGTTATGAGGTCTTCAAGATCTTGAGGGAAAATACTGATGCATCTGAGATCGAGTGGGACAATGATGCTGTCTCCGAGATCAGTATAAAACAAGTTTTCACGAGTTGGGATTTAAAATCTGATAACGTCCTCAGGTGAGAAGGTACCTAAAACATAACAAGACTACAGTACGGTCCACGAGAGTCTGCACTTGAGGGAGGAGCATATTTCCCACGTGACTTAGAAGTAGCCAATGAGGACCAGCTGATTCGAAAATATTGTTTAGTATATTTTAATGTTTAATGTTCAACGTCGCGCTAGTCCAGTCTTGCTATTGGCTTCCGCCAACTGCAGACTCTCGTGGCCCCTAGAGTAGTACACAAGCCCAGTCAAAGCTGGAAAATCACTAAATAAAACCATAGATAAAACAAACTCCCTTAGTGTTGCTTAGTCTAGGATAAAACCCACACAGAGTATATTAGTCAATAAATGAAACAATAAATCCGGAAGAAAACAATTATTAATACAAAAGTAGCTCACAATAGACATTTCTTCTCAGCCTTGCTTGAGCCATCATTTTTTCAACGAACCGTAATGGAAAATGTCTGCAATATTAATTTAAATGACTTAAATGCTTAAGGTTTAAAATTTAGTTAAAAATATGTAAATTAAATAGTTGCTATTATCTTAGTAGAGGTGTGCGAACGGTTTGGTTTTTAAACTATGCCAAGCCTAACCTAAAAGCTGAAAAGACAAGGCACAAAATCAGAAAACAGCCACCGAACGGAGCTTTTATTCTGTCAACCTCAAAAAGCATCTTCAAAGATTGCTGGGACGAAAATTCACGTTTACTCCCAGATCCCCTCTAATATCTGGGGGAAAGTTATGAGGTCTTCAAGATCTTGAGGGAAAATACTGATGCATCTGAGATCGAGTGGGACAATGATGCTGTCTCCGAGATTGTGGATGATGTAATTTTGACCTAGGTACAATATAGAGCCAAGTTTGTAAAATTAATTACCTACAAAAAGGTCATCTGCTGCTGAGTGAGGTGAACATTTTGTACGGCAGATTAAAAAGAGCATTCAAGCGACCAACATTCAAAACTAGATGTTTTGAATTTTGATATCAAAGAGAGTAGAGAAGGCTGGCGGCAAAAATCGTTATAGATCAATCGAATCGTAAAGCAAACGTAAGTGAACAGCCCGATAAACGACTAAAAGAGATTTCGGTATTGCATCATAAGGTCTTTAAGCTTACAAATATTTTAGGCTAGACAAAAGTAAAACTCGAAGAAGAAAATAATGAATACGAGGTTAAAATGAAGTGTTTGGTGTAAATGATTGTTAATATTCAGCTCAACTACTCTCTTTTCATATATTTAATGTCAATCTATTGTCATTAAAATAACCATCTTTGTTTTTATTCATATTCATCCAAATGCAGTACATTGATTGTTTTTGCAACATTTGTTTGTTGGCTCAATTATTTTTCACGGCGACGATGCTAGACAATTGCGATTTCATAGACAATTTGTCGTCGACCGGTGTAACATCAATGAAGAAGTAATGTTGAACTTACATCCTTGGAAAGTGAAAAATAATGATAATTAACTTATGAAGATTTTGTTTTCAGTCTAAAACAACAATTAATATAATATACAGTCTATCCAAAAAAAGTTGGATATTCAACAGATAGTGTGGGGAATTAAATTTGGGCTCGATTCCCGAACCGAACCGAATCCGACCAGAATTTTCAGATATCCGTACAAATCTAGCAGAAACGTGATTGACAGTCCTTAGTTCAACAATTGTCGCATTTAAGTGTCTCTTGTCACAAAATGCGATCACAGATTAAACCCTGGTATAAGGCCATAAGAGTCTAGTTCCAAAATGTGGAAACAAAAGGGTGCCTACCAAACATTCAATCCAATCTTATACTGACAAATCAACAAATGTACCATAAACTCACCTTTATCGGATTCATCTGTTTGAATGCATTCATTTTCCTAATGTAATATGCAACTCTACTTGGAGCGCTCCGGGGAATGGTCATGTCGTAGATGACTTGAGCCATGTCTTTGATAGTTCTCTTCTTTCGAGATCTCTTTTTCCGATCCATCATTTGAGTTACCTGCTCTAAACAAAGTGCTAGCAACCTGCCAAAATATATAAAAAACTTGAAACTGTGCAAGCAACAGAGCATACAATTTCAGAAGTAAACACTTTGCAAAGGGAATCCCCCCACCCCGTATATATGACCAATGAAGTTGGTCGTATATACACTCAGTCATGAATTTTGAATACAAATTCAATTTAGAACAGGAACTACTACTGTAATTGATAGCATTGGTGGAAAGTATTCACAAATTTATACTATTTTATTCCAATTTAAAGGAAACAAAGTTTTGGGATTTAGTAATTTTACCAGCAACTCCAGAATTCTTTCTTTTATAGCAGAATAAAACAGCTAAATTAATTCTGAATTTTATAGTTACTGACAAATTTATATCTTATGAATTTAAATGAATCATGAACTCATATGTAACAAAGAATAAAATGCCTTCTTTATTTTTTGTTATATAATTATTGATTTATTGTTAACAGGATATCTAAAAAAAAACATACAGATTGGTTTTCCTCAATATTAAATATTTAAAATTAGAAAATTACATTCAGATTTTTTTTACATATTGACTACACATTTCATGGATATAATTAATAGAACTGTACATAATTTATTTTTAAGTCAGAATAACACCCTAACGATACATTCCACAATGTTCACAATCGTTATAATGGTTTTGGCAAATATATCAATCAATCTCATATTAGTAACGGTGACCAGATATTCTAGAAGGTCATTTTAACTCTTGCCTTCTAGAAATACGTCACGAGTTTAATATGAGATGTGATGTTGTGACTGAGGATTTTTTATCGAGGTTATCTCCTCTAGAGCCGCCGTGTTTTGCGCCAACAGGGCCACCTCAAGTAGGGTGTGACTCTGCGTCACGCACGGACGATCTTGGGCAAAGAGAGGCTATGAGACCTGCGTAACAGCGTGACGGAACAATAACTACCATGGCACAATATAGTTAGTTACCAATAGAGTAATTGGCTAGAAATTATTTGGGGAGAGATAAGACTTCAGCTAGCTGACTTGAGATAATTAGAATCCAGGGGCTGATAGATACAAAGTAAAATGTCACAAAACCAAACAAAGATGTTTCGTGACCTTTAGTTTGAATCCATCCTTAGTTTGTTCTAAAAACTCTTCTTAAAATGTGAGATTGTTGTTGGAGCAATATTCAAATTCAATTACCTAATCCTTTATTAAATTGTCAAGAAAAGATTTGTGGTTCCATCAACTACAATCTACCTACAAGACTAATCTAGTTTATCTACTGTTCCTTATCTTCCTTATTTGTTTGTTTGCATTGTTCCGTCGTGCTGTTCGGTCCTCGCATCATTACCCCCAGGATCGCATAGGATCCCTTGACCCCATAGTTAAAGTTATACCCCATTCATATCCCAGGAACACACTATTGTAAATACTATAATAATTTAGAAACTAAATAAAAATAAAATATCCTAAATAGTTGTGTTAAATTAAATAACTTAAATCAAAAACCATCAAACAGTTATTTCTCAATTTTTAATAAGGAATTTCCACAAGTACCGATTTTTGAGGGATCGGTAATGAGAATCTTCAAATAATTTTGTTACTCTTCTTTGCTCAATTTCTCTGTAGGTACAAAACTGGTTTAGTGGCATATTACAACTGGCCAAAATATTTAAGGAAAATTAAACGCCAATAAATTTGACTATTGCATGTGTTTGCTAAATCTACTCGGATTTCTAAAAAAAATATTTAATTTCCAATATCTTAGTAAATTGTTTGAATGTAAAACCAAATGATAACTTTGAAAAAAACTCGACCCTAAGGGTCAATCAAAAATGTTAAAGGCAACTTAAAAGCTATTAGAGCCATATGTGTTTTTCATCATTTAAAATAATTACCACACATAGATTGGCGATGAATCGAGAGTAAAAAGAGAATGCTACATACATATTTTCTGAAGCTGTGAAAGAGGTATGCCCCGTTGGTATCAGACATGTCAAAAAAGGAGTGGAAGGCAACAACAACGGGTACAGAATAGCTTCACTCTCCATCATACATTTCATCAACTCTGGAGGAAAATCTTGCGACATCCTCATATTGGACTTTTTTTTCTTGGCTCTGCAAAGAAAAAATTTCAAAAAATACAAACATACCACAGAGAAAGATTTGCCTGCTGAATTAAAATGATTTACTCCATAAAATTGCTACAAACATACACATATTACATACAATGAAACACAAGAACTTCAAGATAATGCGATAAAACTTTTTTGTATTTGCCATATAACTTAAATTGAATAAACTAGTGATCTGTTTGAATTTTTCAGACAATTCTCGGTGATAACGGTTCTTGAGAAACGTACTGGTACCAAAACTGATGTCAGCACGTACCAGTGAAATACATGACTGTCAACGGACACAGTCTGTTAATGACGGTTGTGTCTCTGAATTTTGAATCAAATGTGAACGCATGATTGTTTAATAATTATGAATGATAGTATGATGAAAAAAAAAACACTATTAACAAGAGGCCTTTTTACAAAAGTATATTGCAATAATTGCAAATTACTAACAGCAAATTAAACAAATACAAATTTAGAAATGCCTTTTTGCAATTTTTTAAGTACTTGCAGAGTGATATGCATGTGTTACATCTTACATTTCCAAAAACATCTGTCCAGTAAATACAAAGATTTGTTATAAACTGACTTAAGTGTTTGTTAAGTGTTAACTCAAAAAAGAATTTATATACAAATACTTACTCAGCCTCAATTTGGTCCAGAACAAACCTAAAACAAACCAGATTAAACATCAATATAAAAAAAATAATGTAGTAAAAACATGTTTGAAATCTGAAAATGTCAACTGCTTTGATGAAATTGTGTTTTATTTGCAAAACAATATGACAAAAGTGAACTTGTAAAAAAATGTTTAGCACTGTACCTGTTTCAAATATATAAAGCCAGCTCTAAGATGTGTAGTTTCAGTGTAATCATATTAATTTTCAAAATGACAACTTCCCCACAGGTTTACATAAGTTTTTAACAATAATACAACACAGGATTGCACCAAATGGGGGAATTTATTGGATAAAAATGTTGTCAAACTCACTGTCGTATCTTATCTCCAGACTGTTCTACGATGCTCTCCCATTTAGCGACCGTGTCCAAAGCAGCGGACAAGTTGAAGGTTTCTTGACCGCAAACTTTGTCTTTCTTCAGTCCAGACAGAGTCACCTACCACAGCCAAGATTTCTTTGTTTGAAAAAACAACACTAACATGGTTAAAAAATATGCGAGAAAAATAGAAAATTACGAGGAAGATTGAGCTGATGGTGAAAGAGGGAAGGGTTTGAGTTGGAGAGGGATCTGAGGTGATAGAGGAAATAGACGTTAAGAGATTGTGTATCAGTTGCTTGTTCGTATCAAATTACACAACCCTCATACAATCTCTTTAATTCTTTATATGATTTCTGTCTCAACTCTTATTTGACATTTCACAGTGGATACCCGTGTTTCGGAATTTTGTCAAGCCATAATCATATCTATCAGGGATAAAAACTGATCCATCTCTCAATATCTTCCTGCCATAGGCTAATGACATATCACCAAAGTCTTTAAGGTAAAGATACATAATGTGACACTCTAAATCACGCCTAAAGTAATGTGTAAAAGTAATTTTTAATATGTTGTTTTGTTTTTTAATGGGTAATTATTATTTTTTAGCAATTATTTATATGAGGCGACAGAGTTCAGCTGGTTCATTAGAGAATTAGAGTTAAGGGGCTAATAGTTACCGGTACACAAAATAAAGACAAGAAAACATTAAATTAACTACTGTTATATTTTATGACCTTCATTTCATTTATCTAAACTGGTTTATAAAGTATCAGCATTGTTTTGCACTCATTTTCTGTCTTGCTACCAAATATCTAAGTTTACTAGTCTAATGAAATGAAATGAAATGAATTTATTTTCCTTTAAGCATTGTACAAAATGCAATGGGCATCGTCAACAAAAAATACAATTGTCAATATATACAATCATTATGCAAAAACTAACAGTACCAGCATAGTTTTGAACGTGGCCGCGTATCTGTAATATCTGGGATGATGGTAGGTCTGCACATAGTGCTGCGTAGTAAGCTGTACATGTTGCCGCATTTGTTGAGCCAACAACAGAAGCTGGTTGGGGTGGAAGCCAAGCTGTTTCTTCTTCTTCTCTTCCGCTTCTCGTCGTTGACGCTCTTCCGTCTCCTTCATTATACTAGCCTCCTGGAGGATCACATATGGTATGTTTCAGGTTTATAATCTCTGTGTAACAAACACCTTGCACAAAGCCTATAGAACATCTTAAAAATACAACTAACTGCACACCATACTGTACAAATAGGTAAATTCATATTTGAGGGAAAATACACGTGGCTAATCAACAAGTTTTTTTTCTAAAGAGATACATTTTTGTTTAACTGAGAAAATTAGTCCTAGGGTATAGCAATATATAAGGAACCAAACAAAAAAAAAAAAACAGTATGTCCTAAGAGGACTTCTTTAGAGTGTGGATGTAAAAAAGACCGTTTAAAATATTGAGCATGTGTGGTGTAATGTTTTTTGTGAGACCGATAAGTTAGTGATATGATATTTTTATTTTATGTTAAGTATAAACTATGCATATAACTATAGAGTAAGGTACCACAAATGTAGACAAAAATAGCCATTTACAATCGACATTTTACATACCAATTGGGGAAAGTAGGAGGGAATGTACTAGAAATAAAATGGGTCAGAAGACACAATGGAATGAAAAAAGATCAAAAGACAAATTATTGAAGACAGGATAAGAGAAAGAGAAGAATAAGCAGTACTGGGGTAATTTGAATATATAAAGACGAGAGGAGATTTAGGGAATGAAGTTGATGATAGAGAGTAGACCAAATGTAGAGCGTGGATGGATGTTAAGAAGAACATGGAGAAGAGAGCGTGAGATGGCACTTGGTGAGAAAGAGGAACTGTTAAGGGATGGGAGATGTAGAAACTGGGGTAACTCATATCTGGGAATAAGCAGAACAGAAGATGGTGTTATGAATGTAAAATACAAACCAATTCAGCAATACTCTCTGATGTCCTGCCTTCATCATCACTTGACAATGCGTCCATTTCAAACAGCTCCTTCATCAAAGAGTTCAACTCCTTCTTGGAAACTTTGACGGCTTTGTCTTTGCGCATCTCCTCTTTGTAATCAACTGGAAAATATATAGTAACGTAGTAAATATTTCCCAAAAAATAATTATTTAGCTGTTGTTACCACTGACTTTTGGATACTGAAGTTGACATCTATATAGACCAGCTGTAAGCATTTTGTCTTTGATTGTTACAGAACAGAACTGAAATTGTATTTCCTTTTTAATTCTTGTTACAGAAATAAGTAATGTAACGTAAAATATGCTATAGTCCATGATGACTTGACCGGTCAGTGGTGGCTTGTTTAAAATGACATTCAACATAAATTACTAATTAATATCAACTCAATATGTTCATTTTATCATGGGTCAAAGGTAAAACATACTACTTCAAAAGACCATAAAAATATATACTATTGCGTTTAAGTTAGTAAAATTCTTTACTGCTTTCAGAAACTACAAGTTATGAAATATTTTACAAATGGTATTTTTTAATTGATCACAGTCAAGTAGATGACATAGTTATTAATTACCAAATCAGTAGTAACTTCTGATGAAGGTAAGCCAGATATTGCTAGTTTGAGCTTGGCTAACTACCTTATCTTTTTACGGCATTTACCACTCACTTGCCCATGATGAGTTAAACTGTAAATTAACGTCACTGGTATTTAGGTAAGTACAAACACCAATAGGTCTTTAGTGACAGTAAAAAATTACAAGAATAAAAATTATGGTAAGTTAGCCCAAATATCTTCAAAACTTATATTTAGTAATTTAAAACTATAAAAGCATACTAGAATCTACTACCAAAGTATTAATATTACTTGGATCTTTTTCTTCATCTTCAAAAATATTGTACTCAGGATCATTGTCCGGATCGTCTTCGAGTGTCTCGTTGGCAGCTGCAACACCAAAAAAATCTAATTTAGGAAATTGACAACAAATATTGTTTTTTTGGAAATAAATCTAAATAACAATATTAATTATATTTTCACATTCCAGATGTATCATCACAATGTAACATACATCTTTATCCTAAACCTGTTCCAATGATTACTAATGACAATTGCGTAACATAGATGAGTCCAGGTAAATAATGGATTTTACAGTTATTATAATAGCACCAGCACCAATCTCCTTAGTTGTACAAACATTTCCAAACAGTGTTTAATTTCCTTTTGCAGTTTACTAGAGGTCTCTCTCTAGGCCTTTATGTTGGCCAGTAAAGATTCTTTCAGCATAAGAAGTAGCCTAGAATTTCATAGAAGTAGCATAGAAGTTCATCATGTGATGGTAAAATTATGTTGGTACTTTTACAAAATTTCAGAGAACTCCATATAAAAAGGTAAGATTTCATTTTATGTCACATAGACTTAACCCTTGTCTTAAGAAATTCTACAAACTACAAGTAAATACACTCTAGAGACTCCTAGTTCAGAGTTTACCTAACGGCTGAGTGAACTCCTTCAGAAAGTCATGCCAGTCGGGATTGTCACATTCGGCCTCGTACATGTCAGGAGTGATGTCCGGAGGAACGTAAGCTTGCTCTATACACTCCAGAGGCATGTCGTGAAAGTCCAACTTGGACCTTGTCCGCTGACCTACGTTCTCCTGCACAAGACTAACTGGTCAGTAGAAATTAAAAACCCATCGAGTGTTTATATTTATTGCCAAACGACTTTCTGGTAATCTTTGTACCCCAAAAATGTCAACAACCGTAGAATCTTTGATCAACAGAGAATCAATAAATCAACAGTACAGTGGATTAACTGGGAATCAAAAAATGACTAGTGAAGGGTATTCACTTACAATTGTTGCAAGGAACCTAATAAAGAAAATATAAAACATAATTTTTAAGTTAATGATTATTAATTATTGTGATTATTAATAAAATTTCAAAGTTGATGTAAACTTATTGCTAACCTGTGGAACTTTAAAGAGGCCGTCCTGAGACAAGTCGTAAGAACACTCGTGTACTGGAGTGGGGGGAGCTTGCGACGAGACAGGGGTGGGGGGAAGTGAGTCCATGTCACTTGCCACGGACACATCTCCTTTATCTTCATCTTCACTCTGTAAATAAACATTGTATTATCACTGCTATAATATTGAGTCAATTAGATCCTGTATCTATTGAGATTGGACAATAATTTAATATTCACAGATGAAGGTGGCAGAGCAGGGTGTAGATTCAATATGTGTTTTGATTTTTAAATTGAACCTTCATTTTAAAACGTTTCCATGAGTTTATGCCACATTTATTTTAAACATATTTATTTTTCACCAGCATTGAAAGTAAACCTACTTACGCCATCGCAAAGCTTGAGGAATCTTCTTGGTCAACTATTTAACAACATGGTGTTGTGAATATTGAGGTCTCAACAACAAAATTGAAGCTCAATAATTAAATGAAATCTTGCCATTGCTCGTCTTTAAAGGGTCATTCCATATGAAATCAACCAATAAAAAATTAATTTCAACCTGACCATCTTTGATTTTGATTTGATGCCATTGTACAACTTGATAGGACCAATAGAACTCATCCTAGACAATATTTAAGATTTGCGCGCACGGTAAAAAATGCCAATTTTTACCATTTTGAAATATTTATATCTTAAAAACTATAAAAGATAGATTTTTTCAAAAACCTATTTGGATTCAAGACTCAAAATATTACAAGTATGCAAAATTTCATCAAAATCCAAGATGGTCAGGTTGAGAGCCTAGTTGATTTGATATGGAATGACCCTAAACAATGTAGATAAATGTTCCGGTGTTTGACTATGACTCCAAAATATATTATAAAAATTTCTAATAAGGATTGTGACTAATAAACACAAATTGAAAATCACTCATGGCTCTATAACTCTCTAACAAAATAATCATATCACTTACTGGTGGTTCAGGTTCATTTTCGGGGTTGTATTCTTCGTCCGAGGAATCTTCTGACAGTTCTTCATCAATAAGAAGTTTAATTTCCGGGCTCAACTCACCAGTTGGAGAGTTCGACAACAATTCCATCACTGGCGGAACAGGAACTTCCGGGTGTTGTAGCAGTTCTCTGTGAATTTACAACCAGAAAATGTTGAAAACTCTTTGACAATTTGAATGGTAGTAAGATGCATGGTTTTATAATCAATAATACAAACTGTGTTGGAATGCGTTTCATTTGTATCAGTTGTAATATCGACTTTGAATAGTGCAAATAAACCTCTCATCCGATTGTAAAGTTTTAATTCTGTTTTGGTGTGTGTTTGATGTTGTTTCAAAAAATTACCATGAGATTAGTAACAGTGAATATTTGTCCTAATTCCTAGTCCTACTTTTTATTACAATCAACAAATTGTAGGATGGGTTGAATAAGAAACCTTTAAGAACCTTTTATAGTCGACTAAACGTGTAGTCAATCACTGAAACAAAGTTTAGAACATGACGCTACTATGTGGGAATCAGGCTAGAAAATTAATAGAGTAGCATTATAAATTAACTAAACTAAACTTAAAATTGAACTAAGGCCTATAAGGATAATTAACATCCCTGTTGACAACATTTATTAGTTAAAGACTAAGACATTGGCTTTACTTACTTGGTTTTTGCTCTGGTGAGTTTCGGCTCAAAAGGAAAAGCACTTTGGCCTCCTTCCTCTGCTGCTCGTACCATGTCCACCACATACTTGTTGGTGATCACCGACTAAAAAACAAATTTTCATCATTCTAATATTACTGACAAAGACTAACACCAGCTGTTTTATTAGCCAGGACCATTTATTAAAAGCCCAATTATCAATGGCAGCTGGATCTAAAAGTTCATGACTTTTCTCAGGATCCAACCAGCAACCTTTTGATATTTAGACGAGCACTGTAACCAATGCCAATGCTTGATGGCAAATCTGTGCATGCATAACTTTATACAACTTTTCACAACCCCAGAAATGAAGAATATTTTTTTAACTACTAGGTCAGTTAGAAAATGAACCTTAAGGTTTGAAACCTTAGTTGCTAGAAAAAAAAAAAAAAAAAAAAACAGAACCATTACAAGTGCATCATCAGCTATTTTACTTTTTTTAATTAATTAGTTATTAGCAAGGGTTTTTACAGAAAATTATCAAATTGAATATCAAACTACACAACTAGGTAACTTGACGGTCATCTAACCGTATAAAAATCTTACTGATGTGGACAGTTTTTGTCACTAACCTTTAGAATGGTTTTAACATTCCTCGCTGTGAGTTTGGACTCCTTGGCCTTTGAACGATACTGACACTCAATTTCTCTCTCCACTTCATTTGAAATGGATGGTATATTGGTATTCTCCTTCTTCCTGAAAAGGTATCTTACTGAATTAAAAACCACAATTTAAGTTAGCAGCCAACATAACAAAGAGAATTTAACATAAAAAAATATCTGGCTATGTTTTATTCTATTGAAAAATATAAACATGGGCAAACATTGCACATGTAATAAGCGATAAAAGTATATCCAATGTAGATAAAAAAAATCCACCTTAACCCATCACAAGAACATTGAATAAGGCCCTAAATATTAACTTTCGATAGGAAAATAGTCTTGGCAGTGATTAAAATTAAAAAAGATAGTCTTGGCAATGATGTTATAAATCCATGCATTTCATGAAGGATAACCTATGTAATAGAACTACTGTTCTATACATTTTATGATTAAAAATAGAGACCAAACCGTTGCAAATTTTAATATAGGAAATCTTTTCAAGACTTAAAATGCTAGAACATACCTCTTCTTCGGAGAAGGTTCACTGAGGCCAGGTTTTCCATCTTGTTTTGATGATGAAATATGATCTTCATCATCAGAGTGAACATTAACATTTAAATTGAAACGTATATTCTTTTTACATTTTTTGCCATCTTCTCGCTTGAAATTGGATTTTTTCCAAATGGACTTTTCTGGTTTCGGAGATTCATTTCGATTTTTATCCTCCATATTGACGCTGAAAATTGAGAGGTGGATTAGCCATGTTATTTTAACAGCACCAAAATCACAATTACAATACGACTTAAGGAGACATTTCCTGCAACTTGTGAAATAGGTTTAAACAACTACTGAAGAAACTGTCAAGAGATTATTTAAACATTAAGAAGGTCGAGGAAAAAAGTGAACTATCTTTACATTGCCTGTGAGTGTGCTAGGCCTATGTGTTTTGTTTGTTAATATGTGTTGCTATCATTTAAGAGCTTTCTTAAAATTGATAACCATTCCTTTCATAACCTTCTTTCCAATCCAAAAGCAGTATGCATCATAACTAAGCTAACCTAAAACTAATACATATAACACTAATCAACAAAGGAATGTAACAATATCATCCAAGCAGCAAGAAACCTGTGTAAAAAGATAAATCTTGATGGTTAACTATAATTTAAGAAGTTACAGTGTGACTTGTGTTGTTGACCACTTGAGGACGAAGCTGTGAGTTACAAGTTTGTTATCAAACATAAGTGAACACAACTAAACTAAATAAATCCAAGAAGTGAGAGAGTCAACAGTACTTAATATATCGTTATTACCTAGATGTTTAAAAAAGAAGGCTTAATTGTAGTCTTCTAATGCGAACACATAGCCTAGAGGATCATTTAAGATGGGATTTACGCAAGGACTAAGTAGGCCTATTAAATTACGAGACAGTTTCGAGACAATATCGACTATCAAGTTTAGCTTACACCTCTTTTACACCAGTGTGGTCTGGATCGTTATGTTGATCTGAGCTACCCCAGAAGGCGCTTTTACATTATTTACAGGAACCAGGTGTTTCCAGGCCAAAATAAAACAAGTTGTGTAATGAGCTATTTTTCCTAGTGGGGTAAGTTTTTGGTTTTTTGCTGCACGCCGATCGTTGAGGTAAGTAAGTGGCCGGCGAAGCAAAATAGGGTCAGTTTAACCTGAACAGCTTGTTTGTTGGTAGCTTGGATAGTTTAGAACCGGCTATCGAATATATTTTGTTAGTGTTTGGAAGATATTCTATTTATTAAACACTGCTATTAAGTAGCTCAAAAAATTAATAATAGTTCAACTTGTATTTAGCATTGCCTTTTGGCTTGGTATTTATCGAGACCAGCTTCTTGTTGTTTAGTTGCTCTGCCTATACATTTGTTGTTTAGTTGCTCTGCCTATACATTTACTATTATTTGGTATTATTGTTTATTGAACGAAACTGTTTGATTACAGTATTAGCTTGGGCATTAGAGTTGTGGATTGGATTTTAGTGGCCGAGTAGACCCCGCCGGTTGATAACAATTGTTGAGGTAAACACGTTCACTGTGAATATACACTCAATTTTAGCATGAACACTCAATTTTAGCACGTACACTCAATTATAGCATTCATTAACTTATTTAAGCCCACATCTTAAGATTTATTAAGAGCTTGCTAGTAGAAAATTGGCAAGTTAAGTTTTTCTAATTTAATAAATTTGGTGTACCGTACCTAATGTGCATTTATTTTATTATCAACACTTTCAAGTTAAAGGGACATATAAGTAAATTACATATGATAGGTAAGTCTTCTCTAGGGGTGGCGCGGCGAAATTTGTAACATCTGGCTGCAATTGTGAGGACATCATTATAGACTCCACGATCTTGGACATATCCCTTTCAGACCCGGGAATCTTAGTCATCTCGACCGCTTTAACCCTCCGAGTGTCCATAGTTTAGGCCTTAATGTCCGCCTATTTTTGGCGCATTTGCAAGGTTTTATTAAAACGGATCTGAGAAGCTTAAAACAATGTTAATTCTACTGTTCTATGTACCATTTTGTTTGGAAAATCATGGGCTTCAATATTATACATAAAACATAAGGAACATTTGTTTCAAAAAAATTTTTTAGGTAAAAAAAAATATTTTGGAAAATTTTCAAAAAAAAAAATAAGTTCGCGCTCAAATGAAATTGTATAAATTATAGGCCTATAAATATTTGAAAATAGCCACTTTGTTCTAAATTCTATGAGGATTACAAATGTATAATAATATAAGGAAGTAGATTTGCAAATAAATAAGTTATGGGCAAAAAACAGATTTCAATACATAGCGTTTAGCTAAGAATGCATAGCCTAACCATAGCTAGGAATCTGGCTGATAATTTGCATCAATATCACTACCTACTTCTTCAGGATCATCAACCAGCCCTTCAAAATCACTTAAATCTTCTTATAATGCACCACGTATATCACTAGGCTACTTTTGATTTTTAACACTAAAACAATGATAAACGTAATAAAACACATCAGTCATCGGTCCGAGGGTAACCTAGCTGTTTACAAATACGCACGTCAGCTGTCTGCTACAATTACGATCGGCTCGGAGAACATAAAGCGCTTAGAGACAGACCTCCGGAGAAAGCTTAGAATCTAACGAAAAGAACGATACCTAACTCGATCCAGTTCAATCCGATTCAGTCAGTCATATAGCCTTCGCCGTAAACGGTGTTCGTGCGTCGAAAAATCGACGCGTGACACTACACAAAGTGTGTCGTGCGTCGATTTTTCGACGAGTGACGCTCGGAGAGTTAAGTCTTGAGTTTGAAAAATTTCCAAATTTTGAATAAATGTTGGTTTTTAACCCAGATTTCAAATAGGCTACTAAAATTATTAATTAGGTTTGTTTTAAAGACGAAACCTTCATAATACCATATTAACCATTTCAGTTTTAACAATAATTAGCATTGGGTACGTTTAAAACATAGGCTAAATAAAACAGTCATTAGCCTTAACAGTTGCCTCTTTCTCATCTTACCGTGACATTGCAACAAAACAATCAGTGTTACCATAAGACATGAAGGCAGACTGCAAAACAAAAATTCCCAGCTGATCTCCATAACCTACACAATCGATGCGTACAGGTCTGAGCAACAGAAAGATCCAGAAACTTCAAAAAAACAAATAAACATCTAACCTACACAATCCTGTTGGTTAGGTTAAAAATTTACCTACACAAATGAGTGTGCTGGGTCTGAAAGGGTTAAGTTCCGGGAAGGCAGAAGAAAACATTGTCACCGTATCCTGCTATCACGGCAAAATGTTGAACATCTCTCGTGATCATGAAGACTTTAAGTTACAATGGTCTTCTGCGATCAGGACAAAATCCTCAACACAAGTTAGATTAAGTTGGTAATCTTGAACATCTTCGTAAACGCCAAGACATCATCGTCTTCTCCACGATAGCGGCAGAATTTTTAACATCAGATCCAGCATATCCCCCGGCCCCCCGCATAGAGCCTAAGTTAGACATCATTAACTTATTGTATCCAGTAGGCTAATACTTCATGGTAGTGGCGAAATTATGGCATAGCAACTGATTTAGACAAAAAACCGGAAATTTCCATAGATTCTAGGTTTAGGCCTAAGCTTTATTGGGCTGAATAACTTTCTGTAATGTGACTGATGACTGATAACAGACCGGTGAGTTTAGGCCAAGGCTAACTTATTATTCTTTTATCTTTCTAAGTCCCAAAGGACTAGCCTCTATTTAGGCCTAGCTTTAAAGTTTTAATGAATCAAACATGATTGATTAAGTTTCCTCCTAAGTCACATGTCGTAAGCCTACAACCATATTCCCTCTAGGCTAACCTAACTTCCCATTTGCATTTAACTACTGACGGACATAGGACAGGCCAAAACCTGACTCACATCCAAGCAAAACCAGTCTGTAGCCTAGGCTACCCCCAATTACCCAATTACTAGGCACTCTGAAGAAAGGTAATGACGATGAGGCAGTCAAACTTCTTGGCTTTTGGATTGACTCAAAGATCAATTGGAGTCAGCATATTGAGAAGGTATGCGTTAGATTGAGCAGAATTCTATTCCTTGTACGGAAACTAAAGTACCAGATCACTCGTCCCTATCTGCTAATGGTCTACCACTCTCTCTTCCATAGCCACATAAACTATGGACTGGCTGTGTGGGGACATAGCCCTGCTACCCAAAGTCTGCTGCTACTTCAAAAGAAGGCCGTACGTATAATAACATCGTCAAGTTCAACTGACCATTGTCGGCCTATTTTCAAGGAGCTTGGCATCCTGACCATTCACAGCCAATACGTGCTTAACATCCTAGCCCTCCTGAAAGAAAATGAACCATCCTTCATAACTAGAAGCGAACAGCATGATTATGGGACGCGCAGAGCATGTGATCTTGACCTGCCCCGCTGCCGACTCAGTCACACTCTTAACTCCTACCCATCACTTGCTATTCGGCTTTTCAATACACTGCCGATAGGAGTTCGTGCTCTTGACAAAAAGAGATTCAAGCTGACGCTACGCCAGAGTTTGCTTAGTAGACCGCTTTACTCCTGGCAAGAAATCTTTGACGAGCCTCTGGTTTTTGTAAATAATACCGCCATACCCGCCATTGTTGCTTAGTTGTATATATATGTTTTGTGTTTAAATGTTTTTAATGTAAATAAGACGCAATCTATCCAACTTTGTTGGTCAAAGATGAAGTAACCAAGTATCAAGTAAGTATCAAGTATCAAGTATCAATGAATGTGTAACTTAACTTAACCAATAGGCCTAGTGTAAGCTTAAGCTATAACCTTGAGCAAATGTACAAAACAGCCTTAGGCCTATCTTACAATAACTTACATGCCCGAATTTAAAGTTTTGGATCTTTTGGGTGTCTTTTAGCGCCAAGAAGTTTTAACTACAGTCTAGGTGAGCAATTAACTTAAGTTAGTGTGAAAATGAACGGATAAACGCGCCTAATGTAGGCTACATCATCATAACATCTACAACCGATACGGGCTCTGACCACAATGGTGTGAAAGAAGTCTTAGGCAGGGCCTGAACCTACTCTCAGCCTAGGCCTAATATACTGTTTTGAGGTTTACCTAAGTTGCTTTGAGCTTTTAAAAGACAAATAGGCTAGGCCTAGGGCCTACGAGTCAGGACTAACTTAAGTAGACCTATGATCAAGGTAAGGTTTTAACAATAATTCT